TTCTAATTAGATCTTCTATATACCTACATCGGTAATGTATATATGATTGCTTTGAACATATGATCATGCTTTGTGCATGCCTCACGGGCTTCGTGGAATGTACACTATTATTTTTATTATTTTGTTCGGTACACTAGTCAGGGTGACAGGACGGTAGCCCACTGGAAGAAATCTACTATCTTTTTGTAGATGGGGTAGAGTACTGCGGCATTCCAGCGAGAAGGAAACATTCCCTCATTCATACACCGTTGGAAGAGTCGGGTGCATGGGCCAGCTGAGATGTCCGCCAATTCTTTAAGTATCTTAGGGTGTTCTTTGTCGGGCTGCATAGAGCAGTAAAGGTTAAGGTTCTGCAGTTTTTCCTCGACGTCCAACTGTGAGAAAGTAATACGGCTCAGCGTGGAGTTTAGTAGAAAGAGTTGTGATACCGGATGGGTAGTGATGGGAGTGAAACTAAAAGTGATCTGGTAATGCTTTATGAATTCGCCTACAATCTGCGAAGGAGCAGTTACTTCTGTCCCGTCTGGTAACCTGAGGGCAAAAGAGGAGTGAGATGTGCCACGCAGTCGACGGATACCCTTGTAGAGGAACGGTTTGTTCTTTTAGGCTCGTTCAAGTAAAGCTCTGAGTGTGCAGTTTGTATTCGCTAATATTTGAGCGGCAGATGTTCCTCAGCCTTTTAAAGGTTAATCAGCTTCCTGTCCCGTTTGCTTGTATCTTGCAAACAGTCAAAACTGCTCATCTAAAAGCCTGCGGATGGGACGAGGAAGAGGTGATTTAGAGCTATAGCGGGCGAGAACACGAGGGACGAACCGCTCGTCAGATGAAGTGACGATTAGTTTCATATGTTCTGCCAGATTGTCTACGGACAGGTCCAGGGGAATACCGTTAAACTGTGCCCTAAGAAACTCTCTAAAGGAAGTGAAGGATGTGACCTTTATTGGGCACTCCATTTTGGATTTCCACTCCATAATATAGTCAAGCAGCAGGACTACGTGGTCACGCTTTCCGAGAGGTGGAAGGTGATTTACCACGTCGATCTGGTTGTCTTTCTTCGTTATAATCAGATCTAGCAATGAAGGAGCCTGACCCGTACGAAACCCCGTGGGTTGATGTACGTGGTGAGTCCAGGAGTTTTCTAATACTATATCGATAAGAGGACGACTAAAAGAAAGTTCGGAATAATATGCTCTGAGCTAATCAAGACCCGGTTTATTTCACGCTGATTTTTTGAAAATCCTTCCCAATCCACAATGATTACATTTGACGTAACTCTGTTCTTGCGTTGCCTGTTTATTGACGTATTCTCACACACAAACACCCACACCATTGTTTATCTGTTGACTCGATATCCGCCATATTTCAATTTGGCGCGGATAGAGAACGTGATCGATATATTGGCCCTTGTTGGACATCCTATTTGGTTCTCGATTGCTTGAGTGTTTTTGGCCGCATTTTTGAGGTTTGCTTTGTTGAACATTTTGTAATGATTTTTCTAATTCAGCACCGTAGAAAATTATGGATTATTCGTGTTTTGTTTTGGGATTCGTATCGGTTTTGGCTACGCATCACTCAAGTGCGAATTCGTTGACGTACACTCGGGGCATTGAAGTCATCAGTAAATAGAAGGTGGGTGAAAGGATGGGGTGCCACTTATTGACCTTAATTGGTCAATGAGTAGTTGGCTTTCGATGGGGAGCTCTGCGGGGGACGGTACACGGGAGGAGGGAGAGCGCAACTAAAATAAACTGTGACACCACCTGCTCTGCCGCGCGCTGAGTCTGATCTCATCAATATAGAACCGGGAATGGAGATTTCCCCGTCTTAAGTATGCATCTATCAACGTTCTTAGGTCTGGTAGGAAGCAAGGCGAGACCGGGTGAGCCATCGGAAGGGACATTAGTGGTGGCGATTGTACGAGATGTGTGCACGTTGATCTTGGGCTATCTTGGGAAGGTATTTCACCATCGGAGGGGCTTTCTTTATGAACCTCTCTGGCGACCGGCCTGTCGCCCCCTTCGTTCGAAAAATTGCTTCGGTTTTGCAGTTATTGGGCTGTGAGGATATACCGTAGGAACGACCATTCAATGGGCGGAGCGTGGGTCCTTGATCAGCCTCCTGCCGCATTCGCTTTTTGTTCAAACGCACCTGGTTGCGAGTGGGAGGATCCCCGAGGAGCCCTCTTTTAGGGTTGGGTAGGGCTAATGTGCAGACCGGGCTGGGTTTAGTCCGCATTTTGCTTTTCGGCTTTTTTGTCTCTTATTCCCAGAAGCCTCGATTGGATTCCGGTTCTGTTCTATGAGACTGTTGTTTGCAAAGCTGGCCGCCATTGGTTTAAGGCAAAATACAGTCCTTTCTAACAGTATGCGGTCTAGAGAAGAGGGTTGGGACTTAAGACCTTTGAGTTCAACCGAAATGCTAAGATGAAGGCGCTTCTCAATAGTTCGGTCTATAAAATCCGTATGGCTTCTTCTACGTCTCTAATTGAGCGCTGCTCAGGCTGAGTGAAGCAACATCCCCGAGAGAGCACGCTCTGAACCTGGGTAAAGATAGAGTTAGAACCCATTCGAGAACTTCTTCTTTCACGGTTCGAATTGTTTATTAATTTTATAAGCTGCCGGATGAAGTAGTTGCATCTGTAGTGACAGTGTCAACCCTTTCCGCTCATGTACCTTTTCCATCTTCCGGACCTTGTTGTTTTACCGGACAAAGATTATCTCGTTGGTTACGGTAAATTTACATTCACTTTCTGCACGCTTACTTACCTGTACGCTTCTCTCTCTACTCTCCAGCTCATTACAATAATAATAAGAAGAAGAACAGGTTTCGTGATATTAGTTGTTCTGCTTTGGTTCGTTACCTCGTCCGTTGTTAGACGTACGAATTCGTGGACATCATTAGCCCAGAGACCAAACATCCAACTCGACAGCAGAATTCAAGAGCAGGCAAGATAATGTATTGACTGGAGTGGCTGATGGGGGCAGGGACTTTTTTGAACGAATTGGATACAGCTGACTCTGGGTCCGCCGCTCAATACTTACAACATCTCCCGAAACTTACGTCTTCTCTCTTTTCGCTATACTTTCATTCATACTGACCTCTTTTTTCTCCCTTTCACTCGCTCCTTATGGTCCATTTGCTTGTCTCTCACTCCACTTTATTCGATACACCACCTACTTCATCGCTTTGGACCCTTTGTTCCAATAGGTAATCTGGCCATTCCATGAGTCTGAAAGCTGCAACAACATTCCTGACAAAACCCCATGACCTGAACCAACGGAGCCTAAAGGTACCAGAATCTGGACAACTGGCGCGTCGCCTGTAGGTCTTGTGAACAGAATTGACATGATGCGTTTTAAAATTTGTGAACGGGGTATCTGTATTCGTCATTTAGGATTAGTTTACGAATTCTCGCGCTTACAGCGGGTGCCGTCGGAGGTTTTGCTCCAAGTCAACTTTTTCTCATCCAGGGTTATACCTTTGTGGAACGAGTTACCCGCAGAACTGGTCATCTGCACCGCTCTTCAAGCCTTCATGGTGGCACCAGATGCATATTGGTCAGTAAAGGTCCCGAAACGAGTAGGTATAGGGTATCAACTTTGAAAAGCAGGCTGCTTGCAAGGTCGAAGTATGGAAAGGGATTTTTCTAACGATATCCCATTTAAACATAAAACGGCATGACGTGCATATTAACAACAGAACGCCGCCAAAACTAAAGACAATTTACTGGTGAGGCGAGAATGCATTCCCTTCGTTTCCACTCTTTCAGATGAATCGAGAGTAACATAAATAACAAACCCATAATACGTGGTGTTCGGCATCAAGAACGTCCACGGACAACACAATAATCTGGACGCTCAGTTTCTAAGGGTCAAATTACATCCCGGGAAGACCGGAATAAACCGAAGAAGTTGTAGTGGAAGAGATACTACATACACGAATGATAAAGGAATAAACGGTACATGGAACAGACTCACAGAAGG